CAGAGCCCACAGAGGAGGGTGCCACACTGCTCACCTCCCCGGGAGGGGAGGTGTTGCACAGCAGCGGCCAAAATGAGCCCTGGAGGAGGAGGGGGAGGAAGAAAGGGCAGGGACTTCAAGCAATTTTGCGGAGGCCCGTTGGGGTCTCTCCACATGCCCTCTCCCACTCGGTGCCCACCCCTGGGGTGCAGGAGCAGGGCCACACCTGCCTTCCCCGCCTCAACGAAACCCCAAGCCTCTGTGCCCTCTGTCCCACCGGAGCTGCACTTTGATGGCCTTGCTCGAGCTGCACAAGTCCCTCAGACACCCCGATAGTTGGTGCTCAGGGTGTCCTTCCTCCCGCTGGCTCACACCAACAGCCCTGGGGGCATCACGCCCCCCCACCACAACCAGCCTCATCCTTGTGGGCACACTTGATGAGGAGCAGAGGAGGAGAACGCGAATGCCTCCGAGATCCAGGGCGGTTCCCACGGCACCCCCTCCTGGGCGAGGCGGGCAGGGGGGCACACAGCATCATCATCACCCCCTCGCTGCCTGCCTGGCTCCGGGGGTGGAATGGAAATAACCCCGCTCCCATGGCTGCTCCCCTTGGATGGAACCTTCTCATCCTGTGTCGTCACCATCGCTTCCCCCTCCTGCGCAAGCACGCCCGGCATTTCCGGAAAACGGGGGAAAGACGTGGTTGGAGACCTGTCCCCTCCCTCTGCCCTCCCGCAGCACAGGGGCAGCCCCCACGCTGCAACGCCCCGTTGCATTCTTCACTGTATTTCCTCTTTTTTTAAAAAAAAACAAAAGCAAGCGTAGCACTCTAGCAGAGAGGAGAGATGAACATGTAAAAAAATTATATATTTTTTTATATATATGATTCATATCTATTTACAACATGGCTGGGACAGACTCTAGCAGAACATCCAAGGAGGTTGCACAGCCACTGCCAGCGCTGCCCCGGCCAGGTCACACAGGGTCTGGAAAGGTGACGGAAACCGAAGCACGGAGCAGTGGTTACAAGTGGGCAGCCCCCACCCCCACTACGCTCCTCGCTCACAGCACGAAGAGACAACCGTCCCCTGCGGCCACCGGGCCAGCGAGAGAGCCCCTCGCTCCCGGGGCCCCGACGAGCAGGGCTGGGGCTGGCTCCTTCCGAACCACCTGAAGGTGGACGCAAGCGTTCGAGCACGTCCTTGGCAAAACCACTCTGCTGGGAAGCGCCGGCGCGCTCCCCGCCCCAGGCAGCAGCAGGAAAGCGCAAAGAGTGAACCAGGTTCTCGGGAAAACCCGAGTCAGGCAGCCAAGGACGCACTCTCTGCCTGCCCGCCCCGGTTTCTCCTGCTCTGATGGGAATCCCTAAAATAAGAATAATAACGATGTCAAATCCACTCCCTTTTGCCCACATGCCGTCAAAACTGGGCCTAAACTGGGTAGGTTTAGCACTGCCCTGGCCCAGGCAACGCCGAGACCTGCTGCTGCTCAGGACGGAGGCTGCTGCGTCTCTGCTGCAACGAGGAGCAGGCAGCAGACGCAGAGAGTGTGCACGTCCTTCTGCAGGCTGCAGCCATCACACCGACCTTTTGGGGGGTTTTGTTTTGCTTTTTTTTTAGGCCTGGAACAAAGAAAAGGCAAAAAGAAACAAAAAAACAACAGGAGAAAGAAAGAAATCCAAGCTTGGGGTGCCTAACACGGTCAACACGGGTTTGCCTCTATGCTCTTCTCTTCCTACTCTCCACACTGTCTCCGGTGATTTTTTCCCTTCCAGGTGGTTATTCCCAGTCCTGCCTCTCTCCCTCCAGAGCTCAGCTCCAA